TTACTTAATTAATTCATAGATTGGAGTGTGGATTTTTGGGGTATCACAGGCTCCAACTTCTTATGATTTCTCCACTCCTTCCGGAACAATTGTTGGAACATCTACTCCTTTCAGACCAACTTCATTTGATCTCTCTATTCCTTCCAGAGTAACTTCAGCTTCTGGCTCCCTTCAACCATTGACATGGAAGAATGTCCAAGAGCCACTGTTAGGCTTGCCTCATGTTCAGCTCTGGAGAGATGGGTGGCAGTTTCTAGATTTCACCGATCATAATTATCTCTGTCATCATCGTTGATAGAAAGCCCTTATTCTTTAGTTGTTTTCTTCCCAGTCAACTTAGAACCTTTTTGGATCAAGAATTCTTCTAAGGGACTAAATTTATAAGTTTTACAGTGCATTTCATCTCCAATTATGTTGTAGACTGCGTCTTCCATTACACGCATATTTATAACACATTCTTAACTATATTTTACTCCATACTTTAGCATATTCTATGCATAAAGTTCCCCGAATCATGTGTGTATTGAGACTTATTTGTGAGCTTTATTGTCTTAGGCATATGATTGCAGTATATTTCTCAACCAAATAATTACTCGGAGTAACGAGTTATCGATGCACAGGGAAGTGGGGCGTATCAAGCACTAGCTACTAAGTAAGAGAACTGTCTCACTAGTGATGTGATATACCCTAGTTTGTATGTACCCAATATGCAAAACACCATAGATGGGCTATAGAGCTCGAAGAACCACACTTTCAACTATCCGAAGGAGATCGGAGATCCATGTTCCAACTGTCCGACTCAGTGATTCACCCATCGCTCAACCAGAGTTAACATGGAACACGACCCTCATGTAAAGATTTAATCTCCAATGTTTTCCTCAAGATCAATGTAACTTAGTTCATCAATGGATATCTTCAGAGAGAGAGAGAGAGAGAGTTCCGAAGAGTATATCTTGTGAATTCTATTAGATTGATGAAATCTTAAATTAATTCTTCATTATCTCTCTATAACTACCTTTTCTAAATGTTTTTATACACCAAAATGAGGGAGGGTAATAACTAATAACAAGTTATTTTCGTGTAAATCCAATTACCCTGTCACCCTCAAGATTTAATTGAGAGAATAGATCTTTAACCGTTAGATCTCTCAATTAAATAAGGATAAACTTGTAAAACACCTAAGTTAAGATACCTATTTAGCTAGCTGTAAAATAGTTATCAATTAAGGAGTAGATTTTGGACGCCTCTGGTGTAGGTTTTGTTTCACTAGATCTTCAGTTACCTCACGAACTAGTAGCACTAAGTCCTAATCTACCTATTGTCATAATAATTTGCAATTACAAAAATGGGGTATACATTCTAAACTCTAACACTTTACCATTTCTACATGGAAAAAAATAGACCCAATTCTCTAAATGGAATTTCTTTTCGTAAGCCCGCCCGATTTCCTCCAACTCCAAATGTCTAACCCTAACCCTTTATATGCTCGTTACCATTCCCCCCTCCACCATAACTCTCTCCTCTCTAAGCACCAAAATCCTCACTCTTAATCTTCCATTTCCATTTCCTATATTTGTATGTTTCACATTTTCTATATGAAAAACAAATAGACCCAATTCTCTAAATGGAATTTGTTTTCGTTGGGCCTGCCAATTTTCTCCAAGTCCAAATGTCCAATCCTAACCCTTTATATGTTCTTTACCATTTCCACCCACTACCTCTCCCTCTCCCTCTCTAAACACCGAAATCCTCTGTATCAAGTCTCATTTCACTTTAATCTTCTCTCTCACCCTCAATCACTTTTGACTCTCGTCTCTCGATTGAAAAACAAGGTGTCTATACATCTATCAACCCGATCTCTTCCATTGTAATCGAACTCCTTAGATTGAGAAGGTAATCTCTAGCCTCATCTCCTTTACTAGCTATAAGGAATGAATTTTTTTTTTGAAAAGTGTAGATCTATGTTTTCCATTTAGACTACAAAAAAATTGTTTTCTTTCTAAAGAAATTGAAATTGGGAAAACATTTTCATTTCGAAACATATTTTATTGAATACATTTTTTATATTTCCTAAATTTTGCGTACATAATAAGCCCGAATTTGCATGTTTTCGGCAATTAAAAGTGAAAAAGAGATGTAAACCAATACCAAACTTCAAATGGCTTTTGGATTATTTGTTTAAAATTTTCTCTCTTTCTCTCTCTGTCTCTCTTTCTCTCTCTCTCTCTCTCTATATATATATATATATATATATATATATATATAGGGTGGGGTTCCTGTGAGGTAAGGTCTTCTCGTGCGGTCAGTGCGGCATACACCATTAGGTATGCATAAATACACTACAGAGTGTTCATAAATACACCATTATGTGTGTTGTATTTTTTTTTATGTGGTGTATTTTTTGGCATTTCATTCTGGTGTATTTTCGAATACTGTACGGTGCATTTATGCATACCTAATGGTATATGCCGCACTGACCGCACGGGAAGACCTGACCTCACAGGAACCAAAATCTATATATATATATATATATATATATATATATATATATATATATATATATATATATATGTATGTATGTATAATATGGTTTAATCTACTTATTTTTTAATTTATAAAATATGAAATTAATTGGGATTAAATTCTTTTATTCATAAAGCAATAAACGTGTAGTGGTAAATGATAAACATATCAAGTAATATTGTAGCTATGTAGGTTGTTGTGGCCTTGTGTCTAGGTAGTAAGGTAGATGGAATTAAGTTAGTGAAATAATGGTAAAGCAAGTAAAAGAATATGAATGCAATAGGGTAAGTAATGGGTAAGTAGACAATTGTGGGATATTAACAGTTGGGGATTTATAAAATTGGTAGGTGGTAGTAGGAATAAATAAATAGTTCATGGTGAGTAAAAATGATATGATTATACTAGAGGAAAATAAGAAATAGTGATGGTTGATGTAGGTAGGTGGTGGTAGACAGATGGTTTGGTATGTGGGTGATGGTAATGATATAAAAATAAGTAAAGTGAATGTGCATAACTAAAGATAATGGTAAAATATAATTCCTATCAATATCTTGCTTTTCTATTTCTAAAACTAATCAAAAAATAAATACAAATTCTAAAATATATTTCTTCCGAAATCCAAATAGAGGAATATAATTTCTATTCTATATCTTATGGCTTTTTGATTCCCTCTTGAATATTTAAGGGCTACTTAGTATGGACAAATTTTTTTCCATTACCATTTCTTACATTATCATTTTTTATACTCTTTACCTTTTCTACATTGAAAACAAATAAACCGAATGACATTTTTTCTTCGTCGGCCCACCCAATTTCCTCTAACTCCAAATATCAAACCCTAACCCTTTATATGCTAATTACAATTTCACCCTCAACCCCCCCCCCCCCCCCCCCCCACACACACACACACTCTCTCTCTCTCTCTCTCTCCCCCACTCCCCTCTCTCTCTCTCTCGCTCTCTCTCTCTCCCCATCTCTCTCTCTCCCCCCCCCTCTCTCTCTCTCTCTCTCTCTCTCTCTCTCTCTGTCTCTCTCTTTCTCTCTCTCTCTCTCTCTCTCTCTCTCTCTCTCTCTCTCTCTCTCTCTCTCTCTCTCTCTCTCTCTCTCTCTCTCTCTCTCTCTCTCTCTCTCTCTCTCTCTCTCTCTCTCTCTCTCTCTCTCTCTCTCTCTCTCTCTCTCTTTGCGCACCAAATTCCTCTCTCTTATTCATCCCTTTCCGTTTTACATATTTCTATTATTTATACTCTTTACCCTTTCTCGAAATGAATTTTGTTTTTGTCAGCCCCCCCAATTTCTTCTAGTCCAAATGTCTAACCCTAACAATTTATATGTTGTTTACCATTTCCCCACTCTAACTCTCTCTTTCTAAACACAAAAATCCTCTGTCTTATTCAACCCTTCCCATTTCATATATTTCAATTATTTATACTCATAACCTTTTTTTAAATGGAAAACAAATACGCCCAATTCTCTAAATGGAATTTGTTTTTGTCTGCCCGTCAAAATTCCTCTAGTCTAATTGTCTAACCCTAACATTGGGATTTATAAAATATGAAATTAATTGGGATTAAATTCTTTTATTCATAAGGCAATAAAATTGTAGTGGTAAATGATAAAAATATCAAGTAATATTGTAGCTACGTAGGTTGTTGTGGCCTTGTGTCTAGGTTGTAAGGTAGATGGAATTAAGTTAGTGAAATAATGGTAAAACAAGTAAAAGAAATATATATGAATGCAATAAATGCATATGTAGTAATGGGTAAGTAGACAATTGCGGGATATTGACAGTTGGGGATGCATTAAATTGGTAGGTGGTTGTTGGAATAAATAATAGTTCATGGTGAGTAAAAATGATATGATTATACTAGAGGAAAATAGGAAATAGTGATGGTTGAGGTAGGTAGTGTTAGCAATAATAATATTTATGTTATAACATATGGTTTATTCTATGTGGTTATTATTCATCTGACTAGGCTTGTCTATTGTATAGGAGATATTTGTGGTAGCTTTCCTATAGGACTCTTCATTGTACTCTCTTTCCTAATTTGAATGTGAATTCAGTTTGTTCATCTGGTATCAGTTAGCGTTAGGCTAGGAATCCTATTCTGTGTTTCCTCTCCCACCACACCATGTCGACAAACTCTTCTGAAAGAACCGTTACAACCACCACCGCCCCAACGCAACACTCTGGGACCTCCCTAAATGCTGCGCACCATTTTGTTTCAATTAAGCTAAACAATCGGAACTTTTTATTCTGGCGCACCCAGATTGTTCCATTCTTGCGTGGGCAGGGCCTCTTAGGCTTCATCGACGGCAGCTCCTCATGTCCTCCGACGATAGTTCCCGCGGCGGTGCAACCTAGCGACTCCGACACCACCGTAGCAGGGTCGACCGTAGATAACCCAGCGCACACCGCTTGGGTCCAATAGGATCAATCGATCCTGTCTCTCCTGATCTCATCGCTCTCAGATGAGGTTATGCCTCTGGCGGTTGGTCGGGAGACATCCAGAGATGTTTGGCTCGCAATCAACGAATCGCTAGCATCTTCCACGAGGGCTCGGTGCCTCAATTTGTTGGGGCAATTCCAGACACTCCGGCAAGGCAGTATGACGGCCTCGGAGTATCTCGGCAAAGCCAAATTGCTGGTCGAAGCTCTCTCCCTCGCCGGTCACCATCTCACCCTCGATGAACAGGTTCTCTACGTGCTGCGTGGACTCCGGCCGGAGTTTCGGGCGTTAGCCAGTGCACCCACCGTGACTGGAAAGTCGGTGACCCTATCCCAGCTCGGTGATCTTTTGCAGGCGCAGGACTTCATTCAAGGCGATGATCTCTCTGCAATGGATGCTGGAAATACCTCCTCTCCGGTGGCCCTGTATGCTGGTCGCGATGGTCAGACCAGTGGGCACGGCGGACGGCAGTCCGAAAATCAGCGCGGCCGAGGGCGTGGAGGTGGACGGCAGAATGGCGGAGGTCGTGGCCGTGGCAATCCTCGGTGTCAGATTTGCCGGAGTCACGGTCATACGGCCGTCTACTGCTACAAAAGCTACATGGAACCTGCACCGCATGCCAATGTCGCTGTCGCAGGAGGCTCGCCGGTGGACACCACTCAACCGGACGCCTGGTTCCCTGACACTGGAGCGTCCACCAATGCGTCGTCGGATGAGCAGCAAGTTGGGCAGTCCGAGCTCTACACCGGCGGAGATGTGCTGAAAGTGGGCAATGGCGCAGGTTTGAATATCTCCCGGGTTGGCCGTACAATTATCCCATCCCATTCCAGAGTTTAAATATGTCTAATATACTATTTGTTCCCAAATTGTCGTTACCCTTATTATCTATTTATCGTTTCACTAACGAAAACAACGTCTTTTTCGAGTTTCATAAATACTCTTTTTTTGTGAAGGATTGCACTACACGGGAAACGCTTCTTAAAGGCTCCGTGGTAGGCGGTTTATACAAATTGTTGGTGCCTCGGGTGCATTTTGCATTTCTATCGGCAAAAGCTACACCCTCTGTCTGGCATCAACGATTGGGTCACCCTCATAAACAAGCCCTGCAACGAGTCTTGAAAAACTGTCTGGTCATGTCAAATAAAGCCCATGCGTCAGGAGTCTATACCGCGTGTCAACTTGGCAAATCAGCTCGGTTTCCTTTAGATAGAGTTAGTTCGTCATGTTTGAATATTTTAGATTTATTGTATACAGACATCTGGGGGCCTTCCCCGGTTATTTCAGATTCAGGCTACCGGTATTTTGTTTTGTTCGTAGATGACTGTACACGTTTTTCCTAGTTTTATCCCTTACGGCTAAAATCAGATATATATATAAAGTGTTTGAATTGTTTCGGGCGATGGTAGAACGACGGTTTTCCCGTTCTATCAAAGCCATTCAGTCTGATTTAGGGGGTGAGTATCGCCGCCTCCACAAAATGTTTGAGTCTTTAGGCATCTCACACAGACAATCGTGTGCCTATACCCACGAGCAAAACGGCCGCGTTGAACGCCGTAATCGACACATTGTCGAAACCGGCTTGGCCTTATTAGCCGAAAGCTCAGCTCTGTTAAAATACTGGGATTACGCTTTTGAAACAGCAACACAATTAATTAATTGCTTGCCTTCATCAGCTATATCTTATGAAACCCCACACTTCCGTCTACATAAAACCTCTCCACCATACACTTTCTTCCGGGTGTTCGGGTGCAAGTGCTACCCTTATCTTAGGCCATATAATCAGCACAAGATTGAGTACCGCTCTGCACCCTATGTCTTCTTAGGTTACCCAGTTTCTTTTAGGGGATACCATTATATGGACTTAACTACAGGGAAGGTATTAATCTGCCGTCATGTGCGTTTTGATGAATTAATCTTCCCATTTGCTTTGCAGACGTCTTTGCAGGTCAATACCAGTCCGGACTCCACTCTCGCACCTTGGGGTGTTGGACTCGTGTTGGTCAATCCCGTGCTTGCCCCGGTTCTTGATGAACCACCCATTGCGCAACAACCGGTGCCTATGGCTATAGAAGGGCCGCCTCAGACTGCTCCCCGACGAGGTCGACCTCCTGGACGGTCTAAGCGTCCTCAACCCCCAGTTGAGGATCATGTCATGCGCACCAGGTGCAAAACTCGGGGCACAAACGAGCAATTTCATGCCCTGACCATCAATGCGGACCCCACTTGCTATTCTCAGGCCGTGGGCCATCCGCAGTGGCGAGATGCCTTGGATCAGGAGTTCAATGCACATATGCACAACAATACGTGGAAATTAATTCCCGCAACCCCGAGTATGAATGTTATTGGATGCAAGTGGGTGTTCCGCACCAAGCGCAAAGCCGATGGTACAGTTGAACGGTATAATGCCCGTTTAGTGGCAAAAGGGTTCAATCAGGTAGCCGGAGAAGATTTTTTTGACACCTTTAGCCCCATGGTCAAACCCACAACAGTCCGCATTCTGTTTTCCCTTGCAGTATCCCGCAATTGGGTGCTACGTCAGCTAGATGTTCACAATGCATTCTTAAATAGACGCCTAGCTGAAACTGTCTCCATGAAGCAACCTCCCGGTTACGAAGACCCCGCTCATCCGGGACAAGTCTGTCATCTGCAGCGTTCTCTATATGGACTCAAACAGGCACCTCGGGCGTGGTTTAACAGGTTACCTGAGTTTTTGACATCAACAGGTTTTTCGGCATCCAAAACCGATATCTCACTCTTCTACTATACGACAGGGAAATCACGGGTATACTTGTTAGTCTATGTCGACGACATAATCATGATGGGCAACGACTCGGCTTTGATTGACACACTCCTGCATCAGCTATCCACAACGTTTAAAATTCGGGACCTGGGTACACCCAACTTCTTTTTAGGGATTGAAACAGTGCCCTCGGGAGACGGTCTTGTTCTGTTGCAGCGCCGCTATATGAAGGATATCCTGACTAGGTCAGGTATGACAGATTGTACAGCTCTGGCCACTCCAGCTTCGGTTACTTGGCCCGCGTCTCCCTCGTTAACTCCGTTTGAAAATCCGACGCAATATCGTCGCATTGTAGGGGCTCTACAATATCTCACCATCACACGGCCCGATCTCTCCTACTCGGTTAATAGACTGTGCCAGTTCATGCACTCTCTGACGGATGATCACTGGGCGTTACTTAAGCGTGTTCTGAGGTATATAAAAGGGACTCAAGACTATGGGCTTCGTTTATCTGCGTCGTCAGCTTCTGATCTACATGCATATACGGATTTGGACTGGGCCGGTTGTCCGGTAGATCGTAAGTCCACTAGTGGATACGCAGTGTTTCTCGGGGATAATCTTGTGTCATGGGTTTCTCGCAAGCAGCGTACAGTCGCCAGGTCATCCACCGAAGCCGAGTATAAAGGGTTGGCCGATGTTTCAGCAGAGGTTACGTGGGTTATTTCTTTACTGCGTGAGTTAGGGTTACACTCCGGCTCCCCTGCCACGCTATGGTGTGATAATTTAGGGGCTACCTACCTAGCAGCCAATCCGGTCTTCCACGCCCGCACTAAACATGTTGAAATTGATTATCACTTCGTTCGACACAAGGTGGCATCTGGGGGTTTCATTGTCAGTTTCGTCTCTACCAAGGATCAGCTGGCAGACATCTTCCCCAAACCTCTACCAGCACCACGTTTTCAGGCTCTACGAGACAAGCTCAATGTTGTTGCTCTCCAACCTTGTGCTTGAGGGGGTGTGTTAGCAATAATAATATTTATGTTATTATTCATCTGACTAGGCTTGTCTATTGTATAGGAGATATTTGTGGTAGCTTTCCTATAGGACTCTTCATTGTACTCTCTTTCCTGATTTGAATGTGAATTCAGTTTGTTCATCGGTAGGTGGTGGTAGCTAGATGGTTTGTTAGGTGGGTGAAGGTAATGATATAAAAATAAGTAAAGTGAATGTGCATAAGTAAAGATAATGGTGGAATATAATTCCTATCAATATCTTGCTTTTCTATATCTAAAACTAATCAAAGAATAAATACAAATTCTAAAATCTATAGAGAAAAGGGTCAAATAGGCCCCTAAACTTTATCCCAAAAGTCAATTAGGTTCCTAAACTTTTAAAAAGTGCAATTAAACCCTCAAACATGTCAAATTGGGTCAATGAACCCCAAGAACTGGTAAATGACCTGTTATTACAGGTCATTTCAAATCCGGTGACGGATTCCGGCGACAAAATCCGACGACCGGCAACAAATTCCGGCACATAAATTTTTCTCTTTCTTGTTTGCTTTTGCGTTCCTATTTCGGACTCAGCTTGCACCTTCCACGTACATAGTTGCAGCAGCTTCCATTTCCAGCTTCAACATACGTGGTGACAACAGATCATTTTCCAATTCATTCACTCGCATTCGCATCACCGCTTTGCATCATCTCACGTTCCAAGAAGCTTGGTGGTAGTTTGTTTTATTTCTAACATTGTTTTGTTTTGTAGTTAATCAGAAGTGGGCAGCATATACATTTATGCATAACAGTTCTGCAATAGAAGGTGATCGGTTGTCGCCGGAATTTGTTGCCGGTCGCCGGAATCCTTCGCCGGATTGAAATGACCTGTAATAACAAGTCATTTATCAATTTTTGGGCTTCATTGACCTAATTTGACATATTTGTGTGTTTAATTTCACTTTTCAAAAGTTTAAGGGCCTAATTGACTTTTGGGATAAAGTTTAGCGGCCTATTTGACCCTTTTCTCAAATATATATATTTCTTCCGAAATCCAAGGATGTGTTTGGAAAACCCGGAAAATGATTTCTGGAAATCATTTTTCGGGTTTGTGGCGTATGGCTAGGCAGGAAAATAAGAAGTCAAAGGAAAATCACTTGCAGTCAATGGAAAACAACCCAATTATTACGGAAAATGATTTTCCAAGTGCACTGTTCACGCCTGTTCTCTCTGCCCTCATGCTTATTCTCTCTGTTATCTCCACAAGCTGCCAGTGGACTGGGTTCCCATGGGTCGATTCGCCGTTGTCGGAATCGGAGTGACGCCTTCGCCGCCTCTGCGTCGCCTCCGTCATCTCTGCCGCCTTCTCCCTCATCGACTGCGCTGCCCCCACAGCCTTCTCTTTTGCATTCTACGACATCCTCGAAGCCTTCTCCTTCGTTGTCTCCGTCCCAGAGCATCCTTCGCTGATTTAGTCTTCGAGGTAGATCAAGTACAGTGGCGGAAATCGAATTTGGGGAAAGTCGAAATTCATGACTCGATCTTTTGCAGTCTGCGCCGTCCTCGAATCCATGACCCGATCGTTAATCAGACACCGGTGAGTCCTCTGGACGTTGGCACCCAGCCAGCAGATTGAGGAGACGGACAAAGAAATCAGTGATGGCGGTGCTCCGGACGTTGCCACCCAGCCGGCAAATTGAGGAGACGGACAAAGAAATCAGTGATAGCGGTGGTCCGGATGTAGGCACCCAGCCGGAAATTTGAGGAGACAGACAAAGAAATCATTGATGGCGGTGGTCCGGACGTTGGCACCCAGCCGGAAAATTGAGGAGACGGACAAAGAAATCATTGATAGCGGTGGTCTTTGTTCGTCTGTAAATAATTTAGTGTGGATGAACATGGGATTAATTTCAATTTGAGAGACAAGATTTTGTTGTGATTTTGTTTTGGTTTATTACTTAAATTGCAATTTTATTTTGGTTTTTATATATTAATTATACAATTCTACTCATTTTTCAGAAAATGAAACAAACACACAAACACAGTTTTCTGTTGTGCATCCAAACATCGGAAACGAAAATGTTTTCTGGAAAATGACTCATTTTCCAGAAAACATTTTCCAGAAGTCATTTTCCTTCTTTCCAAACGGAACCCAAATAGTGGATTATAATTTCTATTCTATATCTTATTGCTTTTCGATTCCCTCTTAAATATTTAAGGGCTACTTAGTGTGGACAAATTTTTTTCCAT